ATCTCAGTCATAACACCACCAAATTTGGAAATATTTGAGCCTTGGTACACACATGCGCTTCTACTGTTTTCATGAGTTCTTTATCATGAGCATACTTGAGCAGCATTTAAAAATAATGTTTAGTACATAAAAAGTTAGTTGCAACTTTAATTGCATTAAGTTTTTTTTTCAAATGGAGGTTTAAACAAGGTCATGTTCCTGAGCCACCTTACCATGATTATTTGCAGTCATGTTCAGTTTTGTCCATTCTTGTCCATGCATTTGCGCTATCATTGCTGACACAGTTGGTGTGTTCTTAGCTGTTAAGTCTGATTATCTAACCAATTATTTTATGTCTGCTATATGGTATATACATATACCAAGGCCCAGAATATGTGTCACACTTAAAAACTGTACCTGAGTAACTTTGTCAAAACAAAGTGAGGCTAGACGAAAAAGTGAGCTGTATAAACATTAAATGCACCAATCCATCATATCGGATGACAATATTTCAGGTGAAGAGCATTGTCTTACACCATATAGCAGACATAAAATAATTGGTTAGATAATCAGACTAACAGCTAAGATATATATATATATATATATATATATATATATATATACATATATAATATATATACCTATATATACTATATATATATATATACATATCTATATATATACATATCTATATAAGGCTCATGTTATTTTGTGCATCTTGCATTATGGGTTTGGCTATTTCTGGCTATGCTATATAAAGCTTTTAGGTGATATTATAAGACCTAGATTAAAGAATAGACTGAGGCCATGGTCAGAAGCTCCACCACAAGTGTAGCACAACAACAAGCCACAGTAACCAACACCGCAGACAACGTGCAAGCAGTCTCCCCCAACGCTTTGCTCTTTGCATCCCCAGATCCTGCACTGCTTCAGCAAGCTGCAGAGGCTGCCCATCACGGTGGACGTGTTGTCGCGCACCGGCGTGGGCAAGACGGTGAACGCCTTCCGGCGCGATCCGGGCCCGGTCGGGCTCAAGTCGCGGGAGCTTGTCTCCAAATGGAAGCGCATCTTCGACGACAACGAGCAGGCCGAGCGGGCCAGCGCGCGCAGCGCTTCGCCGGCCGCCAGCGTACGGCAGCGAGCGCATGGAGATCGACGAGGCGCGCGCGCGCGAGGAGCAGCGCCAGCGCGAGGCGGAGGAGGAGGAGCAGCGCCAGCGCGAGGCGGAGGAGGAGGAGCGGCGCCAGCGCGAGCTGGCCGAGGCCGAGGCCGAGCGGGAGGCGCAGGCGGCCGCTGAGGCCGAGCGGCGCGCGCGCGACGAGAAGCGGCGCCGCCGCGAGGGAGCGCGCGCGGCCGCGAGGAGGCGGCCGGCCCCGAGCAGCGAGCACCGGCACAAGGAGCGCGACCCCGCGCCGAGAGCAGGCACCGCAAGGAGAGCAAGCACCGTCGGCACGAGCCGGCGCCGGTGAACGGCCACGATCCCGCCGCCTCGCCCAGCCCGGACACCGCCGGCGGCGGTGACCGCGACCAGCGATCGCGACCGTGATCGTGACCGTGACCGCGACCGTGATCGTGACCGCGACCGTGACCGCGACCGCGACCGCTGACCGTGACCGCGACCGTGACCGTGAAGGGCGACCGCGCAAGCATGGAAAGGAGCGGGATCGGCGAGACGTCGGCGCCTCGCCCGACGGCGCGGCGCCGACGCCGAAGGTCAACGGCGAGGCGGCGCGCAAGGAGCGGCACCACGGCAGCAAGCACAAGTCGTCGCGGCGCTGATCGGGACCGCTCGGAGCAGGGGGCGGCTGGCGCGGCCGGCCCCGGCCCTCCGCGAGGTTCGACTTCCTCGGCCAGCCCAGCAGCGGCGGCGGCGACGAGGAGACCGGTGGCGCATCCTTCGCGGCCCGCGGCTCGGTGAGTGGGTGCAGCTTGTACCAGGGGAGACTAATTCATGTCACCAGACCTCTGGTCTCCTCCTGCCACCTCCGCCCCCAGCATGCTTCCTTTGCTGCTGATGCGTTGCCGTTTGACCCTTGTGTTTTCACGTTCTGACCTGTCCGTCCGATTTTCCGTGCCGGGAGTGCACAGATGCTGGGTTGACCGCCATCTGGCTCGATGCTGGCTGGTCGGTGTTGAGCGAGGAAAAGGGCTGCAGTCTTGGTGGTCTCAAGACACGTGTGCAGTAACATGCAAGATGCCAGCATCCTTGGCACTCAACAGTTTAAAGTTTACCCACGCTGCTGTCTAGGGATAGATGTGGCTGATTGTTTACTTTTTGTCTTTTTCCGGTTCTTTGAGACGATTGGCTGCTAAGGATGTGTTACACTAGCCAGCCTCGCCTCGTTGTCGGGGTTATCTCCCGTGTGCAGGGGAAGCAGTTATACATCGATGAGTGCTTCGTGGCTGATCGGTTCGCTCATAACTGGGGATTCGCCCAATCTCACGCAGGCGGCTCCGACTCAGTCGTGCGGAAGAAGAAGAAGAAGTCCAAGTCGTCCTCATCAAAGTCGTCGTCTTCGCTGAACTCCTCTGGTTCTGTGAGTAGCTCTTCCCGGTTACGCTTTGAGTTGTTCCTCGTTGGCCTGGGTCGGATTCACTCTTCCACGCGCTGACCGGGATACCGTTAGTGTCGCCCGATTTCGCTGTGCTGGTCTGAGATTCGGGTCAGTCTGCTGCTGGAACTGGCAGTTGCGTGTCGGGTAAGATTATGTCGAGCATGCAAAGCTGCGTTTCGTCGCGTTACAGCATATCATTATATACCTAACCGTTTCTGAATGTTCTGGTACGCACCAAACCTCACTAGTGGTTGTACAGTTTGCGCGCTGTGTCTGATAGGTATTTCCACGCGCTGAATTCCAATTTACCACTGAACGGACAGTGCACGTATCATGTAAATATCGCTGGTCTTTGAGGGCGCCGGTGCTGCGGCCGCAGCCTGTCTGTGCATCCGCTGCCGGTTCCCCCCCCCCCCCCCCGTACTGATACAGAGGGCCGTGGCCACTGTGCTGTCCCCGGCTGTCACTTTGGCTGCATCTTTGATTCCCCCTCGAAATACCTCATTACTCTAGTCCCGTTCCTGGGTCCAGGCGTGTAGTGCACGAGCGACGAGCAATCGCGCCCTGACCCCGCCGCCGCTCCCCGCTCTCCTCTGACCCAGCCGCCGCGCCTCGCTCTTCCCTGGCTGACCCCGCTCTCGCTCGGCAGCTGGTGGAGGCGGGCCCGGCCATCGCCGCCGCCGCCGCCGCCGGCGCTCGAGGTGCTGGACGCGCTGCCAGAGATCTCGGGCCACTACCGGCCACTGCCGCGCGCGCCCGGCCGCCGGCCGGCCCGCCGCCAAGCGCACCCTGGACGAGGAGGAGGCGTTGGCCGCCGTGCTCGGCGCCAAAAACAAACGGTGAGGGGAAGAGGGAGGGTGGGGAACAGCGGCGGTGCCAGGAACACGTGGTGAGGGGAGTCGGCGAACGGGAGGGGGAGGCTGTGAGGGTGGGCAGGGGCGGTGTCAGGAACGCAAGGCGAGGGGATCGTCTGACCGTCTTGTCGCTGCTTCCGTGACCGATGTTCTCCGCCTACGTCAGCCCGTCGACCAGCGCTCTCCGTGCCCAGGAGCGGCTTCCGTGGCCGATATTCTCCACTTACGTCAGCCCGTCTGACCAGCGCTCTCCGTGCCCATGAGCGGCGCGTCGCGCTGTGTCTGACCGTCCGTGCCCCTGTGTCTGACATCCGTGCCCCTGTGTCCAGGACCAAGTGTACTCTGGCGCGCGCAGCGCCGGCTGGTCCCGCGTGCCGACAACTGGTGGACATCTGCCTGCGCAGCCTACAGGAGAACAATCGACTGTGATGCCCACCCTGCCTGGCGTGTGCCGGACAACGGCAGTCGAGCCGCTCCGTGTCGGTGACTCAAGGGCGAACTCAGGGGGGCAGATACACAGAGTTCTAGCGGAAGGTACTTCTGCTACGTCCTTTCTGACTGTGTTTGATGCAGGTGGCATTGTGTTTGCGCCTGAATCAGGGGCTCATGTTTTCGTGTGGTGCCTGGCCGGGCATCTCCCCGCAGCCGCAGGTAGAGCCCACATCACATTGGACGCCCGATCGCTGGGCTGCTGGTCTCGAGCCCCCCGAATCCACCGGCGCACGTGCTCGCGGCGCCTGCCTGCCGGACTGACGGCGCCCGCCCGCCGCCCGCAGACCTGGAGTACACGGTGCGTTGCCGTACGACATCTTGATGGCCGGTGCTGGATAAGTGCTCGGCCGGCCAGCTGCACAACATCGATTACTACAACTCCTACCTGCTGGAGGACACGGAACCCCTCTGGAAGGCGCTGGGCACAAGGATTTCCGCGCCGAGCACCCGCCAGGAGATGGAGACGTGGCGCGAGATGCATATCGTGAGTCTCCTCCGGCCGCCCTGCGCTGGACCCGGTGTGTGTGGGGGGGGGGGGGGGGGGCTTTCGGGACTCGGGGCTCAGACTCGGGGCTCGGGACTCGGGATTCGGGGCTCGGGACTCGGGGCAGACCCGATGGGGTAGCGGTCTCTGCTTGGTCGGTGGGCCAGGGATGCTGATGCCTCAGCCGAGCGGCGGTGTTATCGTTGCTTCATGGCGATGTTCATGGTCCGGTGGCGGCTTCGGTATTGGGCTGGGTGGGTCGTTTGGTGGCCACCTCGCTGTGCCAGTGACTGGTGCCTGGTCTGGTCTGGTCTGGTCTGGTGGTTGGTTTGGTCAGTGTGCGGCTGCTGGTAACTGTGTCTGTCCGTTCTGAGCGAGCACAGCGGCCTGTTGCCTGTTGACCATACCTGCTGTATCCCTTTAACACGTGCGTAATCCCCGCGGCACGAGCCAACGCGCCCGAGCGCGCTCGCCGCGGCACACAACACGGCCGGCCCGTGACGCGCGGCCGTGTCCGCCGGCAGCGCTGCGCGGAGGAGCGCGAGATCAAGTACAACAAGCTGCGCTCCATCATCGAGGGCAAGCGCCAGGAGTCGCTGGCCAGCAGCCGCAAGACCAAGGTGGCCTACGAACACACAGTGGCCAAACCGCCGAGGAACGTCGCCAGGAAACAGGTGCGAGGCGCCGACGGCGCGCGCTGCGGCGCCGGCCGAGGCGGCGGGAGCGGCGCTGAGGCGGGCTGGTGCTGTGAGCGTGGTAGCTGCGCCGCGTCTTAGGAGGGGTTGCCGCACCTGGTGGTGTAATTCACGTGTGTCGCTGGGATGGTGGCAGGATTGCGCCTGGTGGCCTCATGGGCGAGAGTTTAAAGCAGAAGCCGTTGACGTCCGTATTGACTGTGTGGCTGGATGGTGTCGCGCGTCTGTGAGTAAGCCGTTGTTCCTGTGCGGAACAATGGTCTCCCATGTGCGTCTGGTGAGGTGGCATACTGGTCGCGTTGGGCTGTCCTTGATAGCGACCCTGAGCCGTTATACCACGTCGCCTTCTGGCCCGGTACGTCTCCGTGACCTCTGACCCGATACGCTTCCATGACCTCGCGGGCCCGGTGCGCCTCGGAGACCTTTAACCTGGTACGCCCCCATGACCTCTGACCCGGTGCGTCTCCGGGACCACTGACCCGATACGTCTCTGTGACCTCTGACCCGGCACGCCTCCGTGACCTCTGATTCGATACGCCTCTGACCTCTGACCGGGTGCCTCTGACCAGACACGTGCCTGGAGCCCCAAGAATATACCAGGATCCCATAAGCACAAAATTTTGGGGCCCTGGATCTACCCTTGGGATCCAGACATGTGTCTGCTGCTGGCCCTCCGCAGCTTCAGAACCTTTTTGACCCGGCGCGCTCCTGTAGTCTCCAGACCTGGTGTCTCCCGTTCCCTCTGACCAAGCGTTCCTCTGTGACCTCAAACCCATTGGCCCCTTGGCCTGTGACCTCTGACACCCTCCCTGACCTGCCGCCTGACCCCGCCGGCCGCCTCCGACAGGCGAAAAACGGCACGGCTGTGGCGGTGGCCATGCCGATGCCCAACTCCATGGCGGCCGGCGGGGCGAGACAGCCGCGGCCAGCGCCTGGCGCCGACCCTACTAGCCGGCCGGCGGCGCCCGGACGCACCGCCGCCCCGCGTGAGTGCCGCCGCCGGCCGCGGTCGGCCGCCGGGGGAGAGGGCGAGTCGACCGCGCTGGACTTGAATTTCCTTCACCCTGGGGTTTGCTCGCAACAGTATTTTCTCCCCGCGGTGAAGCTCTGCATGCAGAAAGCGTGCCACCAGCGAGCTCGAAGATACTGATATATTTTATAAGTTTTGTGTTCGGGCTTATTTTTGACATTTTTTGGCGAGCCAGATTCGGATGGGACATTGTCACTTTGTTGTTCATTCATTCACATTTGTTATATCTGTCACTTCACGCTGGTCATAATTGCCTAAAATTTATGGAACATGACGTTTCAGCCGCCCCTCCCCCTTACTCAATTTTTGTTCGACTGCTGATGAACCTTTCTGTCTTTGCAGAGAAGAAAAAGGCACCTCTCATGGCGAAGGTCTTGCGAGCGATGGGGCGACGGTGAGGCGCCGCGTCTGATTGGCCGTCCGGTTTAACGA